GGGCCAGGGCGACCGGGCACCGGTGCATTGCGCAGGGAACCCCAGTCGCCGACTTACAAAGGCTGCTTGGCTCTTTGCTCTGAGAGTAGCGCGCCCTCCCCGCAACCCGCGTTTTCTGTTTCTGTTGTTTGATCCAGCGCGTGGTCCTGCGGGGAAGAGCTGCTCGCTAGGTTTGCTTCCGCCGGACCTTCCCGTAAGGATCGGCCGCCAATTCTCATTAGAAAATGGGCCCGACGGGTCGCCTCGTGACCATCAAGAGGAGCGGGCTGGACGGCCCCCACTTTCCCCTGAGCCTCAGCACCTGCTTGTTCGGGAGGTGAGCCCTGCGCCCGCGCGAGAGACCCGAAGGCCCCGATTCCAAGTGAACGGGCCGGGCCTCGGCCCCTCCGCTGTCGCCCGGCGGGGACTTCCCTGTACTGTCCACTCCGGGGAGCGGTTTATCACCAAACAGAATTTCGAGACAATGCTTGTGTGTTCACTGGTGCTTCAGGCGAACATACGTGTTGAAATTGATTTGATGCGCATGTTTAAATGGAGGAGAGTGTAGATGGTCGCAGTACCCTGACCCCCCTCTGTAGAAGATGGCCGTGTTCATCTGAAAACCCTGGGGACGCTGCCGAGCAAAGGAAGGAAGGAGGCTCCTGCCGGCTAGTGTTGTGAGAGCTTCCCTTCCTGGGTCACCCTGTGGGCGGTGCATGCATCCGCGAGCAGAGGTCGGGGTGCTGCCACCCGCCCGGCCGGTACCAGAGGGTCTCCCCGCACCAGGAAGCATTATGTGGCCGGAAAGGTCCGCAGGGTGAGGTTAGGAAGCACTCGCTGCGGTGATCCCAGGTGGCAGTCTCCTGGCAAAGGACCTCTCAGTGCTAATGAGACAGTCTCTCTTCCTGGAACTCTCTCACCTAAAGATCAAATCATCTCCTTTCACTTAAAGTAGCTGTTCACTTTTCAGAGCTTTTCTAAAGGAAAAAAAAATGTTTAAAAACATGTTGGTGTTGAATGGCAGTAACTGTGGTTATTATACAGCAACGATGAACGTTTTTATGCACGATTTTGTCATTTAGAACCTCATTAGTAAGTGTTTGGTCGTGGGACATGGGTGGGAAGAGAGAGCTTAGACTCCAGAGGTTCAGGCTGAGAACAGATGAGAGTCTAGAGTTGTTCAAATTCTAGTTACTAGATGGTAGCGGGGACCCCCAGCGGACCTCACCGAGGGCCTCAGACGGGTTTCTGCGGGTTTGGGAAGTCTCCCTCTCTGTGCTTCCTGCTGGCGCTAGCTTTTTATGAAAAGATAAGTCAAATCTAGAGAATGTGCGTTGTTTTTTTGTTGTTGCTTTCAGATGAGTACTTTTATTGATAGACTTGTGTGTCTGTCAGTAAATGGACTATAGTTTTAAAACAACAGTAACAAGCTCACAAGTAGTAGCATTTACTGTGTGCCAGGCAAAGGATGACGCGCACAACTCATCTTATCCTCTGAAGAATACCATGATAGAGGTGCTAATGTAACCCTGTTTTTGTCTATAAAGAAACAGGCAGAGAGCGGTGCTGGCATAAAATACAGCACTTTTGGTGATGATTAAACCTTGAGCTATACATAATATTACAAGTGAATATAAACCTTTTTGTTGAAAAAAAAAAAGCAGAGGATTAAAAGTAATTTTCATTCTCCAAACCAGAGGTCCTCAAACTACGGCCCGCGGGCCACATGCAAATACAAATATTATATTTGTTCCCATTTTGTTTTTTTACTTCAAAATAAGATATGTGCAGTGTGCATAGGAATTTGTTCATAGTTTTTTTTAAACTAGAGTCTGGCCCTCCAACAGTCTGAGGGACAGTGAACTGGCCCCCTGTTTAAAAAGTTTGAGGACCCCTGCTCCAAACTGATGTCAAATATTCCTTTAGTTGGGTCTTATAAGCATAGATATCTTAGTAAAAGGCAAATCAACTTTATATTGTAACTAGAGGCCCGATACACAAAATCTGTGCAAGGGCCTTGATCTCTCCCCCTCCCCCCCACACCCACCCGCCCACCTCTGCCTCAGCTGTGGGTGGGGGCAGGCTCTGTTACCCCACTGGCTCTCTCTGGAAGGAAGAACATCCTGTCTAATTAGCATATTACCCTTTTATTATTATAGATGTTTTCTAGTGTAATTACCTTTAAGTACTCTAAGTTTTAAAGATTTAAAATAGTTGCTCATACAATACTTGTAAACATTATTGGCAAAATCTAGAGAGCATTGATGTTTACCCAGTTTATTAGTTCTTTATGTCATTACATTTATAGATCAAACATAGAGTCAAATGCTGTTTTATTTTGAAACACTGATGTAATTTTTTTAAATGCAACAACCTAAGAAAGTCTTCATTCTTTTCAATCAAGGGGCATTGAGTGTGACATTCGTATCCAGCTTCCTGTCGTGTCCAAACAGCACTGCAAAATTGAAGTCAATGACCAGAAGGTTAGCGGGGCTTGGGGGTCTATTTTTAAAAGTCTTCGCTTCACTTGTTACCTATGAATTACACATTTCCCCCCTTTTCTGCTTTCAGGCAGTCTTGTTTAATTTCAGTGCCACAAACCCAACACAGGTGAATGGATCTGCTATCGACGGGCCCGTGCAACTCAGACACGGGGACGTGATCACGGTCATTGACCGCTCCTTCAGGTCAGTGGCCATAGGGGGCCTCCTGGCGCTCCAGGAGCCAGCCTTGCAGGCCTGCGGTTCTCCTCAGGGTGGGTGAATGTCCAAGTGTTTGAGACAGACTTGCTCCACGCTGATTCCTGATCTGAAATCACAGGGACATGTGCGGCCGGCGTAATCCAGTTCACGGATTTGAGAACCCATCATGCTGCCGGGAGGGGTGACCTGGTCCTACGGGAGTCTCACTTTATTGGAAGTGTTGAGACTCTGCAAACGTTTTTTAGTTTATTATTTTGAACTAAAAGGTATTCATAGAGGAAGGTACGAAACAAGTCAGGCATGAACAGCCCTGTGGACATCACCTGTTATGGGCTGAATGCCTCCCCCTCCCCCAAATGTATGTGTCGAAGTCCTCACCCCTAGGACCTCAGAACGTGAGGCAGGGCTTAAGGGCTTTTAAAGAGGTGATTAAGGTAAAATGCAGCCATTAAACAGGCCCTAATCCGATCTGACTGGTGTCCTTAAAGCAGAGGAGATGAGGACACACAGAGAGAACCAGGGGAACAGGTGCTCAGGGGGACAACCGTGTGTACAGGTGGCAAAGGGAAACCGTAGCAAGGCGAGAAGCCAGCCCCAGCGGAAACCAACCCTGCTGACACCTTCACCTTGGACTTCTAGCCTCCAGAACAGTGAGACAAGAAATGGTTGAAGCCACCCAGTGTGTGGTGTTTTGTTACAGAAGCCCGAGCAAACTAATCCACCACCTACAGCATACTCAGAAGATGTCTGAAGCTTCTCTTACACAACTTCTAATCTCTGCTTATTTCTCTGACCTCGCTTTCTGATCGCACGAAAGTCTGGAGTTTTACTGCGTAAGCCTGCATCCCTAACCACCGTGCTTTTGTCTGTCTATAAAACTCCATCAATTTGTAATAATGACGGACATATTTGTAACTGATTTCTTCCCTCATGGTGGTGGCATTCAGTGCATGGACATCCTCACTGCATGAGTATTTCTTTGAAATAATATAGCGTGTCCCAAAATTCATGCAAGAATTGCAAATCTTGCGTGAATTTTGGGACACCCTATATATACAGTTACCTACACAATCTATTCACTCTGGATGGACGTGTGAGTAACTTCATGTTTGAAATGCGTGGGGGTTTGCTTTGTGATTCCATAGGGTTAACTTTTTACTACTCTGTGTTTGAAAAGAAGGTGTGTTCTTCAGCTGTTGGGGGCAGTGTTCTGTCTATTGTGCCCATTAGGTTCAAATTCTAGAATCACAGTCGTTCCCTCCCCGCCGATTCTTAGCTACTGCAACCAGCGAGTGAAAATCACACATCGAGGGCATTTTGTTTTTCGGCTCTTGTCAGTTTCCTTTCTATGCTTGGTGGCTCTGCTCTCCACGTGTTTAAGTTTAGAATGATCCGGTGGGTGAGGCTCTATCATGTGTCATCTTGACATGTTCTGTGCCTATAGTAGTAGTGCTTTTGATTAGGATTGCACACTACTTTTTTTTAATCACATACTTTGAACTTTTCATAATCCTTAAGGTTGAGGTTGTCTCTTGGAACCAGCTGTCAGGGGCACATTTGTTATCATCAGTCTTGTTGTGGTTTTGCTTGGTCTCTGATAACAATGTTTGTCTGTTTTTTCTGAGTTGGCGTAGCCTCTCCAGCCCTCTTCTGGTTGCTGTTTGCAGGTATGCCTTTCCCACCCTTTTACTGGCATCCTGTTTGTGTCTTTGAATCTAAGTTGTGTCTCTTGAAGAGACGTGTAGTTGGATCATTTTTCACCCATTTTGCTGAGCAGAGCTCTGCCTTCACTATGGTCTTTGTTAAATACTGTCTCTTGTGCCTCCTGGCATCCGGTCATTTCTTTTACTGTGCTTGTTGTGAATTTGCTTCATTTTTAAAGGGTATGTTTATTGGCTAGAGAGCTCTAGGTAGGAAGTATTTGATGTGAAACGGAGGCCAGAACTATTTCCCCAAAAGGAGCTGCTGTTCAAGTTCACATTACTTGAGATGACTGACTACCTCCAACAGTGAGTCGGAAATGGGTCTTAGGAAGAGGACTGGATCCAGAGCTCTGCTCCCTGAGAAACCATCCCAGAATCCTCACTGCTCCCGATGGCACTCAGGTGGCATCTAAGTTTGAATCAGGCCCTTTCACCAGGTACCCAGGTTCTGTCTGCCTTTTTAGCAGCTGTTCTGTGATGTGGAGCCCACGGTTTTGTGAGGACAACGATGCATATTGCTGGCTATCTCTCATCTTCATGCAACGTGCCCGCCTCTGTTCAGACACAGGTGGAATAAGTGGGGGCTGACGAGATCAGAGTGCTTTCAGGGTAGCGCATAGATAGCTCTAGTCTCTGCAGGAAGTGACGTCACAGAGGTTCAGGCATCGGCCGCCCCTGGCTTCCTGGTTAGCCTTCCAAGCCATCGGTTGATTTCCTTGAACGTAAACTAGCAGACACCGATTCTGTTCCCACTGCAGTGGGTCCGCACATAGCAGGTACTCAGGGAGTGTGAATTATACAGGCCGGTCAGTGTTCAGAAATTAATCCGGGTGCCCAACCTCGGACTCTGGTGTTCGGAAAGGAAGTCGAGGCAATCAACTCTAAATTTATTTCCAGGAATAGGGTAACATCTTGAAGTTTGCTCCTTATTCCTTGGATATTAATCAGATACTCAGGCTACAGGTCAGTAATCTGAATATGTGTCTGTCATTCTATGCACTTCAGGTATGAAAGTGACAGTCATCAGAACGGAAGCAAGGCAACTGAATTTCCAGGACAAAGACGTGAACAGGTGACGGGGTGGGGTGGTATCAAACTTTGGGCTCTGATTCTTCTGCATGAAGACAGGAAATCATTTATGTGCACACTGAGGAACAGTTTCTCCCAAGGGAGGGTGACGAACCAGTTAGAATAGGAGAGTGTAACCAAGATATTAGAACAAGGTGAACTTAGATTACTTTTTTTCAATCCTCATCTAAGGATGTTTTCATTGATTTTTTTTTCTTTTCTTTTTTTTAATGAGAGGTAGGGGAAGAGAGAGAAACATCAATATGAGAGAGAAACATCAATCGATTGCCTACCATACGACCCCAACTAGGAAACGACCAGGGATCAAACCCACAACCTAGGTATGTGTCCTGACCGGGAATCAAACCTGCGATCTTTTGGTTTATGGGACGATGCTCTAACCAAGTGAGCTACCCAGGCAGGGCAAATTTTACTTCATTTTTATGTAGTCATAAGTCTCTTGATCAAGTTCAGGTTGAAAATTAGAAACTGGCCCTTCCCATGGGAAGTTTGAGAAGCAACATGTTAGATATCAAGAAATTAGAAATCGATTAAAGAAAGAAGTTATTTGCCTTTGGATATATTTTGTGATATCCCCTCCCCCTTAATTATTCAGATGATATATTTTTCTCCTTCTTGGAAACAATACTGGACTTTATATCTTAAATACATGTCATTCTGTGGTTGCTCCTCAGCCTCTAGAACATTCTCTGGCAGCACACAAGTGGGTGTGCTGGGGCTGGTTCTGTGCCCCGAGTGGGTAGTGTCTGCCTTAACTTCTGGGCTCAGACACACCCTAGGTGTCTGCCAGCCAAGAGCACACACGCGGAGTGGAGCCCACAGGTCCTGTGACGATTTCTGGTGAAACCGAGTATAAAGTCAGTAATTCTGTGCTTTTGGTAGGTTCACGGGTACTGAGTGTCCGTGATGTTTAAGTTTAACTTCCTTCAGATGATGAAGGAAAAGAAGTCTGAGGAAGTTATAACAACTCACACGCACCCCATCGCTATATCTTTTAAATCAGCTAAGAAATACGTGTATCTGAGCAGTAGCACCTGGGAGTCTCGGGCTCATTTCTCAGTTTCCCAAAGCCATATAAGAACAGTTAGGCAAAGATGCTCTTCGATAGATAGGCTATTTTCATGAACTTGGCTGTCGGGTTTGGAAAAGGCACTACATGGCTGTTCACTCTTTACCAATTCACAGGCATCTCCGAGTTGGGTCTCAAGGTCTAGCTTCTCTTCCAACCCCGGTAAGTAGTTTTTCATTCATTCCAGATCCGCAAGGCCAGTTATCGTAGCATAATGACAGGGAGGAAACACCAGTGTCACACATGTCCGACGTCCAGGCTCAGGCAGACCCGAGTTAACTTTCTTCTCCAGTCATGTGGGGGCTTATTGGAGAATCCACACGTAAATAAATTGTCTTGCTCAGCTGTCTGCTGAATTCTGAGTAGAATAATAGCATTTTATCTCAGATTAGTTTCAGGAGACTAATGTGATTTACTTATTTGGATCAGATCATAATATTAGTATCGGAATACTGTTCTTACCCACATGGGACCCTCAGTAACGTGTAGGCTAAGTGAGGAGCTATGCAATAAGGTAGTTTGAAACAGCTGTAAGATTTGAATACCACACGTTAACCACTGAGAACATATGGAACTTGTTTCTTATTTCATGTTTCGCTGTCAAGATGGGAAAGTTCAAGATCCCAGTGCTGCCTGCTCACAAGTCACTGAACAGGGTGGTTCAGGAGGGCCCCTGGAGCGCAGGGAGCATGTCAGGGCGACCCGCACCCCCTCACGCGGCTCAGAAGGTCCCACTACCAAAGGCACAGCAGATGTTGGTTCCTCAGAGCCCCCTGGAGATAACCACGGAAACGCAGCCGGGCCCCCTGCTGGGGGATTTGGAGCAGGTTCCTGTGTGACCCCCCTGAGCTGGAATGGGGGACAGGGTCTGGAGAAGGACAGAGAGAATGAGTCTCCCTTTCGGAAGCTCTATGAGTCTATGAAGGAAGAGTTAGATGTGAAGGAGGCTGTTCTACAGAATCGTAGGAAATCGGGAGCACGGGGTCATCGTGCATCAGACGCCGGAAGCACTGGCGGTTCACAGAGCGCGACTCAACCACGGGTCTCGCCCAAGTCCAGGCGGAGATCTGGTCGGAGCAGCCAGACGGAGGCAGAGAGAGCGGGTGAGGGGCCGGCTCACACTCTCGAGGCCACAGCAAGTCCCACCATCCCCCCCACAGAGATGACCAAAGCCAAGACCCCAGTCCAATGTTCACAGCCCAATTCCTCCCGGAGACGCCGGAGCGGAGACCTGAGTGTCACCCCTGGGGGTGAACCTGTGAGTCTGCAGCAAAGCAAAGACCTCGGGGCAGGCAGTGCCGCGTCTGCTCCCAGGAGGCTCTCAGCCAGACAGCAAACACCCGCCAAAGGAGAAAGCGCTGGCGACCTTGGAAACACAGCAGAAAAAGTCTTTTCCAGAAAAAGGAGAAGGAGCCTGTCTCCCAGTGTCGGTATTCTCACCACAGGAACAGACATTCCAAAGCAGACCCTGCTCTCCCCGCTGCTGGTCCCCGCGGAGCGGAAGGTTCCAGGCCGGGCCCTGGGCACGCCCAGGCAGCAGGGCACCCCCGGGTCACCAGGCCTCGGTGCATTGGATGTCAGCAACGTTGGCGATTCCCTTCGTAAGTTTATTTCACTTTAAATTCATTCCCCCGCGAACGTTCACACGTACCTGTGACCTGTGTCTAGGTATGAATTCGTGACACCGCCTTTCTAAAATAACAGTTCGCTCTGTGGCAGAGGAGCCAGGGGACTAAGGGGACAGCCAGGCATCTGTGTCCCTTGTCCACGCCGAGAGCTTTGTCCTGAAGACCTGGCTAAGGGGACAGGGAGTGACGGGAGGTGCGGGTTGTTAAAGAAGGACCGACATAGCAGGGGCGGAAGGCTACTCCGAACGTGCTTGGTTCTATTCCAGCCACAACCTAGAAAGGAGAATGGGCAGCATCGCTTTGGCCAGGCAGCTCCATTCTGAGGGACAAGCATCTGTGTCCTATGGGCTTGATCCAAGTCAGCGGCGATCCCTTGGGAAGCTGTTATTATAGGGTGGCCCTCGGGTATTTGTTCCCACGAGCTGCTGTGCCGGGCGCTGTTTGGGGAGCTTTCCCGACATCCACGCTTCGACCCTCCGTGCCTGCAGCAGGAGCGTCTGCAGGCCAGGTGGTGGAGATAACGGGCAGTTCTCTCTGTTTTGCAAGTGAGGAAACTGACAGCCTAATGCCCCCAGTGAGTGGCAGAGGCAGGGCCTCTGTGGCCCCCGTGGCTCCTGGGCAGCCTGCCCTTTGCAGGGTCTCCAGGCGTCTGACGTGGCCCTGACCACGCAGGTTGTGCTTCTGCAGGGTGCGTAGTGCAGAGCCGTGCAGGTCTGTAAAACGAGACCTCCAAGCTCACGGTGTTGATTGCTGGTTTGTAAAGATGTGGGGGGGTGGGGGGTGGGGGGCTGGGGTCCCATGAGTTGCCTGTGAGAGTCACCTGCAGAACTTTCCCAGCTCGTTGTACTCACCGTGCAGGTCCAGGTGAGGCCCCAGGCTGTGTCTTTTGGGGAAGTTTTCTTGCGTCACTGCTAAAGCATCCATCTCCATCAGCCCCGGCTCTGCGGTGAGCGCCTGCGTCAGGCCGATCCCCTTAGGAAGCTGTGTCCAGGCAGGAGTTTCCAGCGTTTTAAAGAGCATCTCTGTACTGTCAAGTTGGGCCAGGCGTTTTGATGGTCTGGCCCGATCTGTCGTTTGCTCTTGAAGCACCTTTAGCTTCCCTGGCGTCACCAGAGAATGAAAGTATTTCGGCACCAGGAGTCACTGGTTTGTCTCTAAGATCAATCGGAAACAAGTCATAAGTACCAGGATGGTTTTTCATTCCCTTTCCCGTTTGCATTCATTCCTTTAGATAAGACTGAGGGGAAGCCCTTCAAAAGAAGGCGGGTCTCCTTCGGGGGTCACCTGAGACCTGAATTATTTGATGAAAACTTACCTCCTAATACGCCTCTCAAAAGAGGAGAAACGCCGATGACAAGACGCTCTCTGGTCACCCACACTCCGCCCGTCCTGAAGAAAATCATCAAGGTACGTTCCCTAGCTGGCTTTCGCCCTCCTGTCTGATGACTCACGTCCGGGTACCTTCTCTCTCCTAGCTGCTCCCATGAGTAGAGTTACAATTAAACCTTCTCCTTTCTAATATAAAGTAACAATAAAACGTCTAAATGAGCTCATTCACCCGGGGGTTGCAAACAAACACTTGATTTCTCCCCGCGGCTGGGAGGGGGCCACACACAGGCGAGTGCCCGCGGGTCGTCCTGCACAGCCTCCTGCCGGCCGTCTCCAGGGCCGGAGGGCCACTCTGGGTCACAGTGACAACTCCAATGAGAAGAGTCCGGGGACATCAGGACACATGAGCACAGGGCGGCTGCTTGTTCTCCAGGAGTGTAAGGTGAAAGGGAACACTTGGGTGGCAACACACTGCGATTCTCACCATCAGCTGCTTAGAGCTGCAATCAGCTCACCTTCCTCAGGGAGGCGGGGCTTTCATTGCTGTTCCTACGCAGAGGCACACAAGGGGTGTGTGGCCTCTTCCCGTTTTACACTGGCTCCCGGAAGAGCAGCCTTAGGCGGCCGCACACCCACAGGTCCCTTCACTGGGGTTCAGGGCACAGCCCTGGCCTCTACTCGGGTGGTTCCCTCCATTTTTCCTCCTGAAACACCCCAGGGAAGGCTTTTTTTCTCTTTCTTTTTCCTTAAATGGCTGGGGACAGACTCTCACCCCCACCTTGCTCTTGACAGTGGGTGAAATGTTTTGGTGCTTCAAGATTCAAACAGCGAAAATTCTTGGGGTGTGTCTATTCCAATCCAGTTTTATTAAAATTATTTGAGAATTGGGGAGCAGTACAAAGACTTTCCTATGACCACCAGACGTGCTTGTTTCTGGTTTGTGGGGGTTCTTGTGCTTTGAAACAGTGTCAGTTCTTACTCGGGGCTTCCACAGTCCTCACAGCGGTTACAGAGGTGCCGCGTTTCTAGGAAGCTAACTTGGGAGCCTTTCCATCTCGCCAGGAACAGCCTCCGCCATCAGAAAAGGGAGGATCTTCAGAAATCCGTTTGGAAGTGACCACGCAAAACAGGTTTACGAGCTCCCCAGTGCACAGTCCTCCGAAAACGTCTCCACTTGCAAATGATGGTCGCCGGCGGTCCCTCAAATCGCCTGCCTCGAGTGGCAGCAAATCTCCACATCGAACAGATGCTCCTCAGAGGGGAGGGAGGCGGAGCAGCAGCGGGCCTGCCAGGAGGGCCTCGGTGGACCGCAGCCAGCATGGAATCCTGCAGACGATTCAATCCCGACGGCGGAGCGGAGCCTCAGAGGCCAATTTGATGGGTTAGTGTTGTGGGAACGCGTATGTTTCGGGGTGAATTTCCTCACTGCTGCCAGCGCTGGGAAGTTTCACCTCCTTTTCCTTTCGACAGTGGCGAGATCGTGGGCAGACGTCGTGAAACTTTGTGCCAAACAAACGCAAACTAAAGTCGTGAGACATGGTCCTCCAAGACCGCCGAGCAAAAGGCAGAGAAGAATGAACACCCCAAAGGTCTGTGTCCACAGTGCATGGCCGCTACCCATCATGCTCTCCGGAGTTACCTTCCGAGCGGCTGTGCTTTGACGTTCCGTGCTCTCTTGCCTTTCTTCCAGAAGCCTCTGGGCAGTGTTCACAACGAGTTCAGTACAGGCCACGCCGCCTCTCCCTGCACCATCGTGATAGGGAAAGCTCACATCGAAAAGGTCACCGTGCCAGCTCGGCCCTACAGAATGCTGAACAACTTCGTGATCAACAAAAAAATCGACTTCAGTGAAGACCTTTCAGGTAAAATCATAGGCGTGGCTCTCTTTTTTAAAAAATATATTTTATTGATTTTTTACAGAGAGGAAGGGAGAGGGATAGAGAGTTAGGAACATCGATGAGAGAGAAACATTGATCAGCTGCCTCCTGCACACTCCCTGCTGAATCTGTGCCCGCAACCAAGGCACATGCCCTTGACCGGAATCGAACCTGGGACCTTTCAGTCCACAGGCCGACACTCTATTCACTGAGCCAAACCGGTTAGGGCTAGGCATGTCTCTTTTAATCACAGCCCTTAGCCCTGGGAGGATGTGAATGGGTGTCTGTCTGCGGAAGGGGACAGGAGACCAAACGATCCCGTCAACTTCTTGGGGTTAGGATGGTCCAGGACGAGAAAGCTGCATCTGGGAACAGAGAGGGGCCCCCAGCACCTTGGGGATCACATGTCCTGCGTGAGGCAGGCATGCAAGGCAGATGCACACCTTTACCTCAGAGAGCAGCACCGGTGTAAATAAAACTGGAAGCTGCTCTCGGGAAGGAGACCCTCTTGCTCTTATAATTGCCTCTTCCCTGCACTTATACGAAGCAATTTCCCAGAGTTGGAGCAACTGGTGTGAGCAATGTTTTGCTTCAAGAGTTCCTTTTTCTCATGTCGCTTAACTGTTTCACGAATCAAAGGACTATGAAGAAGTTTTCTTTAAGCATGAATAATGTTGAGCCAGTGTTGCCATTCTTATTAGAAGAACCCTTATGATGGTAGCAGATTTGAACCATGGCCAGACCCAGGGTTAGGGTTTCATGCCACCAAGTTGGACCAGTGGTTCCCATTTTGGATACTTGTGGAGGGAGATGAGACTTTAGCCTGTTAGCTGGGCTCTTTTATTTATTTCAGGGCAGGTTGTAACATAGAAGAGTTGTCCTCGGAAAAGATGGGGATGTTATTACCTGACAGTACTAAAATGGACAGCCTTTTGCCATTTTTAAAGTTGGGGGACGTTTCACTTGTACATAATTAGTATTCAGAGCTGCATAACCTCGGGAATTTTGAAGGCAGCTCAAGGTCACTAGGTCTCTGGGTGCCTGGAGGGCAGGCAGTGAGGGCAGCCGCCATCCTCCAACCAGTGCTCACCTGGGCACAACGTCGGAGACTTAGACAGCTTCCTTTGCTTGCTTTTCTTTCCAAGGGGAAAGGCAAAGAAGAGGGAGCACCTATGAGATTTTACCATCCTATCACCCTCTTAACAAAATGATTTTATTATCATTAATGTATCTCCTCCCCTGAGACCCTTTCTCCCAGGAGTTCTAGGGTGTGATTCCTCGGTGGTATGTGGGGACTGACATAGTTGTTTGCGTATAGGTGTGATCTGTTCATTGTTTTTTCGACTATTTCCATATAACAGGGTTAACTGAAATGTTCAAGACCCCAGCAAAAGAGAAGCCACAAACAATCAACATAGGTCCCACCACTTTTTCAAATTCAGAGGACTTGCTTGGGAAAAAGTTTCAAGCACTTAATTCAGAAGAAAAAGCTCTGCTCTGCACCCCAGGAAAGTTTGGTTGGTTTACTTGTTTTTTTTCCCTAACTCTCTTGATGTCTTCCATAGATCTGTAGATGGGGTGTTGTTGTTTGTAAGAGATATTGTATTATTTCTCTACAACATGTACTCATGATAAGATACCGTTTCCAGATTCTCTGTTCTATTGCTTTAGGGGAAATGCCTACCCGCGGGTGAACTCGCACTGGCATTCAGTGACTTGAGTGAAAAAGAATATGCCTTTAATAATCAAGAGGGCGATAAGCAGAAAAGTGTAATCTCTCTCACCATACCTATATGTAAATTACTCAAACTCACAATAATTGCACATTGTCCAAGTGTGAGTGTGAGATGGGAGGCATGAGTCTGTCTTGCTCTCGTTTTGTACCACGTTTTGTTTTAGAGTGAGCTCCTTGCCACATTGAACATGCTCCCATAGGTAAAAAGTAGATGTTTCCAGTGTGACGTGGACACTAAGTGGACATTTCGGCCATATTATTGCATTGGTGGTTCAAAAAGGAAACAGCTGTTTCTCATGTTTGAAGAAAACAGGTCACTGAGATATGGCATGGCAGCCTTTAGGAGACCCTGCTTTGGGAATTTTTTTCCTGATCTAATCCCTGTGGATTCTAACCACCACCTATGTATGAGCCCACTGTATACCACCAAATACCATTATTCTTAAACATGCAGGGTTCATATGTCAGACAGATTTATAACCACACAAGCAGATTCATATTGTTAGTAAGGTGGAGAGGAGGGTGAATTATTGCCTCATACACAATATTTCCTGAGGGTAAAATACCAAATTGGTTACAACACAATGAAGAGAATATATTTATTGTGCTTTTTTATTTTCTTATAGGAGAAAATGTGTTCCTCGGGGCTCAGAATGCACCAGAAGAGCCATGGGATAAACAGTCTTCAAGCCCAGCCTTAACACAACAGTATGTTACAGTAAATGGAAATATGAAAACCCCACGATCTGAGACAGAGCCTCCGAAGGCGGCATCCAGTACAAACAAATCCAGGAGGTCCGTGGAGCTCAGAAATATACAGGTGACGAGTACAGAATGTGAAAAGGATGACAAAGAAGTCGACACTGTTCAGAACATCTTGGGAAGATGTCTGAGAAAATCATCAGTACAAGCACAACTACCAGAGGGAGAGATGAAGGAAAGGGAAAGATCCTTTGAAACATGTAAGAAATATATTGAACCTAAAGAAAATTCTGAAAAACTGATCACTGTGAGGAGATCAAGAAGATCATCAGAGCTGCAATGTACACCAAGAGCAGGCCTGATCCGCATCCAGAGATTGCAAGAGACAGAATCCAAGGAAGACCTGGAGGGCATCCACAGTTTCCTCCAAAACCCACGTCATGCTGAGGAACCAGTGGGTACAGAAGCCAAAACCATACTGCTGCACTGCAAATCTCCACCACCAGTCAGCACACCAACCAAGGTGAACACACGTATCAAGACTCCTTCCCAGAGAGTGAATGTAAAAGATCTCTCAGACCTCAAGAAGCCCACACAAACCCCAGGGGACACAACAGATACACAAAAAGAACCAGTAGGTGGTAACAAAAGCATGAAAGAATTTAAGGAAGCTCCAGAACAGAAACTGGATTCATCAGAAAATGTAACTAGAAGCAGGAGGAGGTCAAGAACACCCAAGAGGAAGGTTCAACCCATAGAAGACCTGACGGGCTTCAAAGAGCTCTTCCAAACACCAATTCACATCGCAGAAACAGTGATTGATGACAAAACCACCAAAACACCCTGCAGATCTCCAAAACCAGAACCAGTCAGCACACCAACCAGCACAAAGAGACGTTTCAGGACACCTCTGGGGAAAGTGGACGTGGAGGAAGAGCTCTCATCACTCAGGAAACCAACACCGAGGGGAAACCACACACTCGCACAGAGAGCCAGAAGGTGATGATAAAGGTATCAAAGCATTTAAAGAAACTCCAAAACAGAAACTGGACTCAGCAGAAAATGTGATTGGGAGCAGGAGATCAAGAACACCAGATCATATGATGGAATCATTGACTGTTGACAAAACCACCAAAACACCCTGCAGATCTCCAAAACCAGAGCCAGTCAGCACACCAACCAGCACAAAGAGACGTTCCAGGACACCTCTGGGGAAAGCGGACGTAGTCGATGAGCTCTCATCACTCAGGAAGCCAACACCAGACCAAGGGAAACCACACACTCGCACAGAGAGCCAGAAGGTGAGGATAAAGGTATCACAGCATTTAAAGAAACTCCAGAACAGAAACTGGACTCAGCAGAAAATGTGATTGGGAGCAGGAGGAGGTCAAGAACACCCAAGAGGAAGGTCCAACCCATAGAAGACCTGACTGGCTTCAAAGAGCTCTTCCAAACACCAATTCACATCACAGAAACAGTGACTGATGATAAAATAACTAAAACACCTTGCAAATCTCCAAACTCAAAACTAGTTATCACACCAACCAGCTCAAAGAGGTGTTTCAGGACACCTCTGGGGAAAGTGGACTTGCAGGAAGCGCTCTCAGCACTCAGTAAGCCAACACTGAGACCAGGGGAAGCCACACATTCACACAAAGAGCCAGAAGGTGATGGTAAAAGCACTGAGTTATTTAAGGAAACTCCAAAGCAGGAACTGGACTCCGCAGAAAATGTAACTGGAAGCAGGAGGCGGTCAAAAACACCCAAGAGGAAGGTTCAACCCATGGAAGACTTGGGTGGCTTCAAAGAGCTCTTCCAAACACCAATTCACATCGCAGAAACAGTGACTGATGGCAAAATCGCTAAAACACCCTGCAAATCTCCAAAATCGGAGCCAGTCAGCACACCAACCAGCACAAAGAGACGTTTCAGGACACCTCTGGGGAAAGTGGACGTGGAGGAAGAGCTCTCATCACTCAGGAAACCAACACCGAGACCAAGGGAAACCACACAGTCGCACAGAGAGCCAGAAGGTGAGGATAAAGGTATCACAGCATTTAAAGAAACTCCAAAACAGAAACTGGACTCAGCAGAAAATGTGATTGGGAGCAGAAGATCAAGAACACCCAAGAGGAAGGTCCAACCCATAGAAGACCTGACTGGCTTCAAAGAGCTCTTCCAAACACCAATTCACATCACAGAAACAGTGACTGATGATAAAATAACTAAAACACCCTGCAAATCTCCAAAACCAGAACCAGTCATCACACCAACCAGTTCAAAGAGGTGTTTCAGGACACCTCTGGGGGAAGTGGACGTGCAGGATGCGCTCTCAGCACTCAGTAAGCCAACACTGAGACCAGGGGAAGCCACGCATTCGCACAAAGAGCCAGAAGGTGATGATAAAGGTATCAAAGCATTTAAAGAAACTCCAAAACAGAAACTGGACTCAGCAGAAAATGTGATTGGGAGCAGGAGGAGGTCAAGAACACCCAAGAGGAGGGTCCAACCCATAGAAGACCTGGCGGGCTTCAAAGAGCTCTTCCAAACACCAGATCCGATCATGGGAGCAGTGACTGATGATAAAATAACTAAACCACCCTGCAAATCTCCAGAACCAGAACCAGTTATCACACCAGCCAGCACAAAGAGACATTCCAGGACACTTCTGGGGAAAGTGGACGTGAAGGAAGAGCTCTCATCACTCAGGAAGCCGACACCAGGGGAAACCACACACTCGCACAGAGAGCCAGAAGGTGAGGATAAAGGAATCACAGCATTTAAAGAAACTCCAAAACAGAAACTGGACTCAGCAGAAAATGTGATTGGGAGCAGGAGGAGGTCAAGAACACCCAAGAGGAAGGTCCAACCCATAGAAGACCTGACTGGCTTCAAAGAACTCTTCCAAACACCAGATCAGATCATGGGAGCAGTGACTGATGATAAAATAACTAAAACACCCTGCAAATCTCCAAAACCAGAACCAGTTATCACACCAACCAGCACAAAGAGACATTCCAGGACACCTCTGGGGAAAGTGGACGTGGAGGAAGAGCTCTCATCACTCAGGAAGCCAACACCGAGACCAAGGGAAACCACACAGTCGCACAGAGAGCCAGAAGGTGAGGATAAAGGTATCACAGCATTTAAAGAAACTCCAGAACAGAAACTGGACTCAGCAGAAAATGTAACTGGAAGCAGGAGGAGATCAAGAACACCCAAGAGGAGGGTCCAACCCATTGAAGACTTGGTTGGCTTCAAGGAGCTCTTCCACACACCAGATCACATCATGGAATCATTTACTGTTGACAAAACCACCAAAATACCTTGCAAATATCAAAACCCAGAACCAGTCATCATGCTAACAGGTAGAAACAGACGTGTCAAAGCACCTCAAGGCAAAGTGGTTGTAGAAGATGAGGTCTCGGCACTCAGAAGGCCCACACGCGCACTGGGGAAAACCACAAGGTCCCACAGAGCACCAGAGGTTGCTGATAAAGATACCAAAGTGTTTATGGAAATTCCAGAAGAGAAATCGGACCCTGCAGAAAATGTAACTGAAAGCAAGAGGAGGCCAAGGGCACGTAAGGAAAAGGCCCAGCCCCTAGAAGACCTGGCTGGCCTCAAAGACAAACCAGAGACTGTTGTCAAAACCACTGAAATGCCCTCCAGAGCTCCACAGCCAGAAGCAGTCATGCCAGTGCGCAGGAAGAGGCAGGTCAAGGCGCCTCCCGGGAACGTGGACATGGAGGAAGAGCTTTCAGCTCCCAGGAAGCCCACACGGACGTCAGTGAAAACCACGCGGTCCTGCAGAGCACCAGAGGTTGCTGATAAAGATACCAAAGTGTTTATGGAAATTCCAGAAGAGAAATCGGACCCTGCAGAAAATGTAACTGAAAGCAAGAGGAGGCTAAGAACACGTAAGGAAAAGGCCCAACCCCTAGAAGATCTGGCCGGCCTGAAAGAGCCCTTCCAAATACCAAGTCACAGAGAAGAATCAGTGACTGTGGTCAAAACCACTGAAATGCCCTCCAGATCTCCACAGCCGGAAGCAGTCTTGCCAGCGCGCAGGAAGAGGCAGGTCAAGGCCCCTCCCGGGAAGGTGGACATGGAGGAAGAGCTCTCAGCTCCCAGGAAGCCCACACGGACGTCAGAGAAAACCACGAGGTCCTGCAGAGCACCAGAGGTTCCTGATAAAGATATCAAATTGTTGAGGGAAATTCCAGAAGAGAAATCGGACCCTGCAGAAAATGTAACTGAAAGCAAGAGGAGGCCAAGGGCACGTAAGGAAAAGGCCCAGCCCCTAGAAGACCTAGCTGGCCTCAAAGACGAACCAGAGACTGTTGTCGAGACCACTGAAATGCCCTCCAGATCTCCACAGCCAGAAGCAGTCATGCCAGCGCGCAGGAAGAGGCAGGTCAAGGCGCCTCCCGGGAACGTGGACATGGAGGAAGAGCTTTCAGCTCCCAGGAAGCCCACACGGACGTCAGTGAAAACCACGCGGTCCTGCAGAGCACCAGAGGTTCCTGATAAAGATATCAAATTGTTGAAGGAAATTCCAGAAGAGAAATCGGACCCTGCAGAAAATGTAACTGAAAGCAAGAGGAGGGGAAGAAC